TGGGGTGGGGGAACTCTTGGGACACTCTTCCCTGCCTAGAAATTGCAGCTGAGAATGTGACAAGTTAGAAGACACTCAAGTGATTTCTCTCTCTCTCTTTTAACCCCTCCCGGGTAAAGCAGAGGGGGCATGGCCAGGGCCCAGCCCATGCTCTGCCTGGGCAGGGTGGGAAGGAAGGTAGTGGCATAGAATTCATAAAAGCTTGAACAAGTTCTCTCTCTGAAAAACTATACACTGAAGAACTATAAACACAGCATGGGCTGTGTGTTGTCTTACTCTTCCTGCTGCCCCCGAGGTCTCTGGGATTTGCAGTCCAGAATCAGAGCAGCAGGACTGTGCAGCGTTTCTTGTCACTTCCTTTTCCTACTTCCAGGTGCCTCTGGGATTTCTAATCCACAATCATAGCCAGCACTAAGTAAGCCAGCAGAGCTGTGCAGCGCTGTACTCAGGGGAAGGTGAGTTTAACTCACCTCCCTCACCCCAGGCCCCAGCCAGGGGAGGCAGTGAGGCCAGTGAGCCAGCTCTTGATGCTTCAGCTAGGGAGCAGAGGGGCAGGGCCAGCCCTGATCTCTGGAGCAGACAGCACAGCCCAAAGCATGCTGGCATGCTGGGGAAATCTGAAGGGGTCTCGGACAGAAGTTTCATAAACGGGGTTGATCTAAATCAATTGAGTCTGATAGTACATTCAACCAGGTTTATCTTAAACTGATTTCAGCTATTTTGAAATTGATTTAAGTGCACTGAACTTCTATTCTGTTACAGGTTTAAACCAGTTTCTGCTCACATAAACTGGTTTATGTGCAACTTTCGTCCCTAGCCCTGGAGGTGGAGTTTGCTCCTGATGCCTCCCACAGTTGGCACCCTGGGTGGGTACCCCCTTCACCCTGCCCTAGTTGGGCTATTGCACATACCTGTAGCTTTGCAAGTACTGCACTGGGTACAGCCAAGCCACAGAGACAGTGTCTGCAACTTTTACATCCAAACTGCTTTGAAGATATCACCACTTCCAAGCTTTCCAATACTCATGCCACCATGCCTCTGCAACTCCTAACAGTTGCACATGAATTTCATGTGCAGCCCAAAAGAGTTAGTTCAAAAACTATGGCAGAAATGGACAGGTCCCCCAAAAAACACTGCACTTTTCGTAATAGAAGCAATATCTCTGGGAGAGAGAAAATTCCCTTAAGTGCCAGATCTACTCAGAACCCAAGTGTTGCATACCATGCCACAGTTTTCACGTTGGTATTTATGAATATAACACTTGTCTACCAAGCCTGCCAAACCCCTAGCAATTAATATTCACTGGTTCCTGTTAACTTCTAGGTAGTGTGTAAGAACTGCCCCAAAGAGAGAAATCTGCTCATAGAAAAGCTAATTGATACTAACTATTACAATTTACTCCAGTTATTGCAGTATCAAAAGAAGCAGCCTATAGATTATCATAGGACACCAGAAAAAAATCTTATTCCATCAGTCCCTTGATATAGTAGATTATAAAGAGGAAGCACAGGATAATTGGAACATTAAAACTATTAGTTTTAATTAGAAAAACTGGTTAGTTAAATGTTCATAAATTAATAAAGCTACTCAATTTACCACGAACCACTCACCAGGTAAAATTTAATATCAATTGTTTCAGATTTTCAGCTTAGCAGTTTCAGATTTTTCTCCTTACAATTAACATGAGAAATAAGAGTAATGCCAAGATCCTTGCCTCTGCAAACTAAGAAACCAAATTTCATGCAGATTTAGCCCAAAATAGCGAACAAAAGAAAGTAGGGAAGGTAAAATCTTTAAAGTGAGGGATTCAAATGTAGGGAA